CACAGCTGATGGGAGGGTGTTTGCAAAGATCGCGGGGAAGCCAGCTTCGCAAATCCCCTGCTGACTTCGGCGCTCTCTCTCTCTCCCCCCTCGCAACTCCAGCCTGGGCAGGGAGACCCTGGCCTCAGTCTCCCTGCCCAGGCTGGACCTGCAAGGGGTGGAGAGAGAGAGAGAGAGAGAGCGCTGAACATCTGATCGGCGGTTCCAAAATGGCCACCCGCTGTGTTGCCTCGCTTTAGAAGCACCGAAAATGGCGGCCGGATGGAGGATTTTCGCTTAAAGGTGAGTTTTCCCCCCATAGGAACACATTAAACGTGTTTTAATGCATTCCTATGGGGTTTTTTGCCCCGCATAGCGACGAATCCATGTAGCGGAACAGATTATCGTCGCTATGCGGGGCACCACTGTATAATTCACAGAAAATTGCTAACTGTACCAAATCATAACTGAGGATAATGAGTGATTGACAGTGTGGCTGTTAAAATTAGCTTTGCCAAATTGCAGAAAAGATTACTATTTGGCTCATGATTCCTTTGTATCATACAGACTGTTGAAAATTCATATATAAACATTGCAAGTATTAGGATATATATGGTTTTAAAGCTAGGTGGTTATCTTACTTTTAGGCAGTTGACACCAAATAATTATGAAGCTTTTAAAAGTTGTTGCAACAGAGAAACAATGACTTCTCAAATTTTTATATCATCTTACTTTAATGGGTGGGCTATGGTGGAGCTGTCTCACATGGATTAATAATGTTTAGCTTTGTGCTCTTAAATGCTCAGTGTGGAATTTTGTACTAGATGAATTCTGGGGGATTGGGATGTCCCACATTCTGCACAATGGCACCTCAGTTTTTAGTAGTGGGGTTTTAGCAATTCCATAGGACCAGAAAATTGCAAGATCTCATGCATATAGAACTTTTCAGCTCAATAAATTTAGATCACCATGCAGATTTTAAGTACTGTGCAAATACAAAGGCTTTATAGGAACTTGATTCCCAATATGCAGCTACATACTACTGTATTCTGTTTCTGAACTTCAGTGAAGAATATTCAAACACCATTAGGTAGCCAGAATGGCAGAGCC